CTTTATCTGCCACCAGGGGCTGTTTTTCATGGCCAAATTGATGCACTCCTTTGTTTTTCCCCTTTTCTTCTTTTTGTCTTCCCCTTTTCCATAATTCATCCTTTAAAGATAACACCAGTGGCAATGAAGAAGTGCAGCTGAACTCTGACAAACTCCCCAAAAGCTCCTCAGCCACTGGCAGCAGTCTGCAATAAATCAGGTGTTTCACCCAGCCTGAGCAGACAGGCTGGGAAGCAGGCAGAAATAACTGCAAATGAAGTGACTTTGTTTTAAATGCAGCCAAGTCAGGGCCTGCTGATGCTGCAGAAGTACTGTTCTCTGAATTTCCTTCCTCTCCATGAGTTTCCTCCTCATCACACTCCTGACTCGGTTGGGATTATCTCAGAAAATGTAAATATCTGCCTCATTTGCTCTGGCTGCAGCTCTGCTGGGAGCTCACCTGGTGAATTTTAGGGGAACATTGGGTTATTCTGCTCAGAGAGAGTGAGGCAAAGGATGGGGATGTGGTTTGGGGAGAGGCTTTCAGCAGCAGCCTCTGTGAAAGGGTGGGTGTTAAAGGACTTCACCAGGGTTATTCTGTTATTCTGGTAAAGGACTTCACCAGGGTTATTCTGTTATTCTGGTAAAGGACTTCACCAGGGTTATTCTGTTATTGGACATCACCAGGGTTATTCTGTTATTCTGTTAAAGGATATCACCAGGGTTATCTGGTAAAGGACATTACCGGGGTTATTCTGTTATTCTGGTAAAGGACATTACTGGGGTTATTCTGTTAAAGGACTACACCAGGGTTATTCTGTTAAAGGACATCACCAGGGTTATTCTATTAAAGACTTCACCACATTGCCAAGCCTTCCCCAGGAGGGACTCCAGCCTTCTTCCCCAGCTTCCTGGGATTCCTGGGGTCACTTTCACCATTCCTATTTGGATTGTGTTTAAGGCTGAGCTTGGAGTCTGATTTTCCATGTGAAAATCTGGGATGTGGGCCCAGTGCCTGGGAATGGGGAGAGAGAGGATGAAGGGAACAAAGTTTGTGCAGGAAGTGAAATGGGACAAACAAAGGTTCTCTTTGGAATTTGGGTGGCAAAACGTGCATTTATCCTTTTCCTCCGTGCTGGAGTTCCCCACCGAGCTCCCTGTGATGGAAAAGGAGCAAGCAGCATTTTAGTTCAGCTTCAGGAAAATGCACTCCCAGCACAGGGAATGGAGGCTGGGAAGCTGCAGTGGGTTTGGAGGGGTCTCTGCCCCAGCCAGCCCAGCCTGGTGTCAGCAGATCCCTGCCCTGCTGGAGCATCCCCCATCCCACCAGAACTGCCCTAATTGCCAGCAAAACCAAAACAAATTTGAGCATGGCAGGCTGGAATGATGCTTCCCACAGCTGAACAATATTGAAAAATAGAAAAAAAAGCCCAGCAAAGAGAGAAGTGATTCTGCCTGAAGGCACCTCAGAACAATAGACTTGGTAAATGACTTCAGACCTCAAGCTGTCCCATCTTGCCAGCCCACGGGGAATTGCTTCCCTTAAAAGCAATTAAAAGCTCCACACCAGCTGTGGTTGGGCTCTGATTTGTATTCTGCAAAGTTTTCTCGGGTTTAGTTTGTAAGGCTGCCTTCAATCCCATCTTTCCCCTGTTCCCCTGCTCTCCAGGTGCTCAGCAGTGGTTGGGATTGCAGGTGGCAGCCGTGGCAGTGATGGATTTTCACCTCATTCCTGCACCAGGGGCTCTCAGTCACTCAGGGCCTGAATGTTGGTGCAGTTCCCAAGATGAGGCTCAAAATCGATCCCTGGAGTGGGAACTTCTGCACAGCCTTGGAAATGGGACCCAGGGAGGAAACTGTGGCCAAGGAGAGATCTTGGTGTCCAGGTAACCCTGTGTGTGACCGTGTTCACAGGGTCCCAGGATGAGGGAAGAGA